TACCCAGCCGGTTCGATCCCCATCAGCCATGATATCCCAAAAAGGGTCACCCAGTCCCATGGCCGGTGTACTCGGGCCTCTACCTACCTCGCACACGAACCAGGTTTCCAGTGCTCCTCCCTCAACATTCCAGCGACTCACCAACCAGGAGGCGCGAGAACGTCGTGAGAAAGGGTTGTGTTACTACTGTGATGAGAAGTTCACCCCCGGCTACCGTTGTGCACACCCACAACTATTCATGATCGAGGATCCAGAACCGGTGGACGTGGAGACTGTCGAACCAGAGGAAGAAAACCAAGAAGCCATCCCTGAAATCTCCTTCCATGCTATTGCAGGGGCTGAGCACCCGCAAACCATACGTGTTCTTGGTAAGCTGAAAAACAAGAACGTRAYAGTACTAATTGATGGCGGCAGCACCCACAACTTCATTGACCAGGCCATCGTCTCCAAGTTCGGGTTGCCAGTGAACCGAGACAAGAAATTTCAAGTTATGGTGGCCAACCGTGAAAAGATCAAGTGCATGGGGCAGTGTCGAGCTCTCACTCTCGCCATTCAAGGACACCCCATTACCGCTGACTACCATGTTCTTCCAGTCGCGGCATGCCAGTTGGTATTGGGAGTACAATGGCTAGAGATGCTTGGACCCGTCGAGATGGATTAAAAACAACTGACCTTGAAATTCAAGAAGGAGGGACTCTCTTGCACCTTCCAAGGATTGGGACGAGCCAGGATCGAAGCCTTAACCAACAAGGAATGCAACGGGTTACAAGGTACGGGATTTTTTTTTCAAATAGTTCCTTCACACAGCAGCGGCCAACCAAGTTTCTTCCCACCTGAGATGGACCAACTCCTAACCGAGTTTTCCCATGTGTTTGAGCTGCCCACAAACCTGCCTCCTAAACAACTTCATGACCATCGGATTGCACTGCTTCCCGACAAAGGACCGGTTAGTGTGAGGCCATATCAATACCCGTATTACCAGAAGACCGAAATAGAGAAGATGGTGAAGGAGCTTCTGCAGTCAGGGCTGATAAGGCCAAGCAACAGACCATTCTCATCACCGGTTTTGCTAGTGAAGAAGGCTGATGGAGCTTGGCGGTTTTGCGTGGATTACGGAGCACTGAACGACATCACTGTTAAAAACAAGTACCCCATTCCTGTGATTGATGAATTATTAGATGAGCTCCACGGGACCAAATTCTACTCCAAACTGGATCTACGGTCGAGATACCATCAGATTCGAGTACAAGAAGAAGACGTTCCCAAAACGGCTTTCCGGACACATGAAGGGCATTATGAGTTCTTAGTGATGCCGTTCGGCTTGACGAATGCACCTGCAACTTTTCAAAGCCTCATGAACGACCTCTTCCGCCCATATCTCCGAAAATTTATTTTGGTCTTCTTCGATGACATTCTGGTTTATTCAAAATCATGGGAAGACCACCTATCTCATTTGAGAATTGTTCTAACAATATTATCATCTAACAAATTATTTGCAAAAATGTCAAAATGTCAATTTGGTGTTTCGCAGGTCGAGTACTTGGGTCATGTGATTTCAGAGCAAGGAGTGTCAGTTGATCCAGCCAAAATACAAGCTGTTCTCGCATCGCCTACACCGACATCGGCAAAGGGGGTCCGTGGCTTTCTCGGGTTAGCAGGATACTACCGAAAGTTCATCCGCAACTTCAGAAGCATTGCAGCTCCCCTGACCCAACTGTTGACCAAGGGAGGATTTCAATGGAACAAGGCAGCAGAGCTGGCTTTTCAGCAGTTGAAGGCACTCACTTCACCGCCAATCCTATGTCTCCCGGATTTTTCCCAACGTTTTGTGATTGAATGCGATGCGAGTGGAACTGGGATTGGTGCAATCCTCACCCAGCAAAACCGACTGGTGGCCTACTTCAGTGAAGCATTGAAAGGTTCAAGCCTTGGCGTTATCCACCTATGAGAAAAAGATGTTAGCTATTGTCAAAGCAATTAAGAAATGGCGCCCATATCTGCTTGGAAAACCTTTCACAGTCCGCACCGACCAAAAAAGTCTTAAATATTTACTCGAGCAGAGGATAACCACATTGGCACAAACGCGGTGGTTGCCAAAGATACTGGGGTACGACTATGAAATCGAGTATAAGAAAGGAGCTGAGAATCAAGGTGCGGATTCCTTGTCGCGTATGGCTGAATTTCAATTTTTGTCCATCTCTATACCACATGCGGACTGGTGGCCGACGCTACAGGAAGAGGTCAAACAAGACACCTTTTATGAAGAATTGATGAAGAAGCGACCCTCCCACAAGTTGCTTCAACGAGATGGAGTATGGTTCAAGGGGGACAAAATTTATTTGAGCCCCGCCTCCACCTTGATTTCAAAGGTGATGGCGGACTGCCACTCATCCCCAATAGAGGAGCACTTTGGGTTTCATAAGACCCTCTCTCGCATCAAGCACAGCTTCCTTTGGCCTCACATGCGTCGAACGGTGAAGGAATTTTTGCAGCAATGTGACGTATGTCAGTGCTTCAAAACAGATTGCATGAGACCAACGGGATTGCTTCAGCCGCTACCGATACCTACTCAAATGTGGACAGACACCATGGACTTTATCGAAGGATTGCCTCCTTCCAACGGGTATACGGTTATCATGGTAATTGTGGATCGGTTGACAAAATATGCCCACTTCATTCCCTTAAAACACCCATTCAATGCCACGACAGTCGCTAAGGCATTTGTTGCCAACGTTGTCCGCCTACACGAAGTTCCAACATCCATTGTTAGCGACCGTGACAAGGTATTCATCAGCTCATTTTGGCAGACACTTTTTCAGATGCATGGGACGAAATTGTGTATGAGCTCAAGTTACCACCCCCAAACCGACGAGCAAACCAAAGTTGTTAACCGAACGTTGGAGCAATATCTACGATGCTTTGCAGGTGACTAGCCGCGGAAATGGTTAGAGTGGATTCCTTGGGCAGAATACAGCTACAACACCTCCACTCACTCTTCCACCAAAATGACACCCTTCAAAGCAATCTACGGAATCCCACCCCCAAGTCTGCTGACCTCTGTACCAGGTACTGCTCGAGTAGGGGCAGTTGATGAATACTTGCGTGACTGGAACATCATCCTGCGCGAGTTACAACATAACCTCCAGGTAGCTCGAAACCGGATGAAATGTCAAGCGGACCAGCACCGACATGAAGCCTCGTTCGTCGCAGGTGATTTCGTGTATGTGAAATTGCAGCCTTACTAGCAGACTTCGGTGGCGTTTCAATGTTCCATGAAGCTCGCCCCACGTTACTTTGGGCCATACCAAATCATTGAGAAGATCGGTCCAGTGGCCTATCGGTTAGCCTTACCTCCCGGCTCTCAAATCCACAATGTGTTTCATGTCAGTTTGCTACGGAAGCACTTGGGACCAATCACCCCAACTTCCACCCAGCTTCCCCCAATCTCGGATACTTTGACCATCCTACCCCAACCGGAAGCAATCTTGGATCGTCGTATTATTCACAAGGGCAAATACCGTCCAAAATCCGAAATCTTGGTCAAATGGGTTGGGGCACCTGTCGAGGACGCAACCTGGGAAAATGAATGGCGCTTCACCAAATCATATCCCGACTTCCTTGTGGACAAGGATCCTTCAGGGGGGGAGGAAATGATACGTGCATGTGCATACATGAAATGATACGTGCATGTGCATGCATGCACTAGGTGCACAGCAGCCGAAGACCCGGTCAAAGTGGATAGCAGCAGGAGACCCGGTAATATTAGCCCTTAGTTTGTGGATAAGCCTTAGCCATTCGGTTTTAATTCTGTTAAAATAGATAAGTCTTCAATTCTGTTTTCTAGATAAGTGCATTCTGTTTTTTTGTTGATAAGCTCCTAAGATTATGGGGCGGCAGTTCCTATTCCTACTCCTAGTTTCTAGCACAATAAGGCTATAAATATAGCCTGAATGAATGGAATAAGGCATTGGCTTTTCCTACAACCGAACTCTCTCTCTCTCTCTCTCTTCTCCTTATTCTAGATCCTTCTTCCCCTTGCTAGAGAACTTGTACGTATCATACGCTTGATAGTCTATAAGCACAGGTGGAATTTCCACAATCATGTCCAATCCACCTGTGCCACATGCCCATGCCTTTGGATACCAAAATGATGTGTCCATGTGGGCATATCATGTTCATATTTTGAACCTTGTTTGCCCCTTATAAAGAAGTCTATTTTGCTGGCGTACACAGGCATCAACAAACATAATCTTTTTCCCTCTATACTAAAATACCAATGTGGTAAACCGTAAACTATTTAAAGTTTAAATGCAATGGTAGAAAACATATCCATGTCAAACACACTGTGGGTGGAGCAAATTACCGTATAAGGGAAACATTTATTATGCAGGGCTTAGAATTGCTTGAGTGCAAAGAAAGGGAAAAGCAAGTGGAAATTACAGCTCTTGTCACTGCTTTTTGTACTCTGTTAACAGTATGGAGGCTTTCTTCCTTCAAATTATCCGGTAGCCATTTACAATCTCTGCAAGTTTAAGGGTGGAGTTACAACTTACAAAATATACCATAAAGAGGAAAAGTCCTTCCAGAAATAAATCGATGAACTACAATACCACATGTAGAAAGTCATGACGAATAATTTATATACCCATTAATCAATTAGTTCTCTGAGCTTAAACCAAAGTAACGCAAACGAAACACAGGATTATCAAATCCAGATGCCAGAGTCCTTAACTATTACCTGGAGAACTTGTATTCACGGTAAGATGAAAGCACGGCCGTTTTCAGAATTCCAATGGAACTCGCATTAAACCTCCGTACCCTTGCAACCGAAAGAAGAACAATGACTGTAAAATGGTTAACAGCTCTGAGATCCGACTTTACAAGTCCCAAAACCTCCTGTCCCAGTGAAGGATCCTGCTTCACTGCAAAATTTACATGTAACAGGACTGTCCCTTCAACCTGCCTAACTATGGAATTTACATTTGAACCCATTTTGGTCCCGAAGAACCCTACAATCCCTTGTATAACGTCCTTCTTACTAAACCCTTTGGAAGCCAATACAAGGAGCTGGTAAATAAGTGATGGCAAGTCTTGCAAATCCACTCCCTTCATTCCAGCAAAAACTTTTCCGAAAAACTCCATTGCCTGAACCTTGACTAGAAATGAAAATTCACGGAGGAGAGAAACAATCTTTACCAGCAAGACCTTTGACCAGTCAGTTGTGAGGATGCGGTCAAGTACTGAATTGACATAACCAGGAGCGATTTCAATCTCATTTGACGATCGAATCAAGTCAAGGGATTGAGGAAGGAGATCGAGAAGTTGCGCATCGTCGGGATCAGCAATTTGGGGTAAACCGGAAACAATTACATCCACGATGGAAGTGAGATCTTTCCTTGGAATGCTCTCGATGTGGAGAGCAAAGAGACTAATGATCTTCGATGAGTTCCGGTCCCGAGGAATCTTACGGGAGTCGAAAAGACGGACATATGCTAGGATGAGAGATGAGAGGAGGGAAGAGAGAGAGGAGCTATGAGGAGCTGAAGAGATGAGAGACACGACGGAAGAGACGTACTCGGTAACGGAGACAGAAGGAGAAGGGGAGTTGCAGCGTGAGTGGAGGAAAGAGACGATTATAGGATGAGAAGTGGAACATTGGAAGAAAGGCGGTAGGGGTGCGCAGGTTTGGTGATATTGTTGCGCCAGGCGCACGATATCGTCATCGGTTAGCGGTAGTCGTCGGTTGGAGGGATCTTCTTCTCCGGTGATGGTCATATTAGAGAAAAAGGAAGGTATGGAGTGAGGGCGCCGGGCGGGGTTGCAGAAATGCCGTGCAGAGAGGCTGGCGCCTTCATTTAAATTAAATGGGTCGTAAACATTTTCGTCGCGCAATCGCGCGGGAGAACTTCGAGGGAAATTGGGATTTGCTCCTCACATAGAGCACCTCACAGACCTGTCCCACCGTGTTTTGGAGACATCTCCCCACGAATAACAACACAAATTACGGGAGAAATGTTCCCGATGTGCGACTGGAGGCGCTGTGAGGTTGGTGCGAGTAGCAAATCCGGATTCCCTCGAACTTCAGACGACCCAGATTTCCTATTCACTTTTCCCATCCACTCTCTTCTTTATTTTTTTTTGGGTCCGAGTCCGACTATGATATGAAAAATAAAATCTGTACTGCTGCCACGTATACATATTTAAAAGTCTTTAACTTATCTGTTACCCGAATACTCTGTTACATTCTTATCTTCTTCCGGTAATTCAAGATATAAATTGTGGGAATCAGATTCAGGACACAGTAAACAATTTGTTATAGACTTCCAAACACAAGAGAACCTTCTCCTGTTCTATTTCATGACAAAACTAGCGTAGTTGAGACAACTATTAAGGTGATGCGAAGCCTTAGATCCTTGAAGGACCCATTATTAATTCCCATCTTTTGTTATCTCCTTCCCAACGACAATTAGATCTAAAATACAAGAATTTAGACCTAGACTAGAATCTAGTAATGATCATGCTCTTGCAAATAATACAGATGTATTTCTCCTGTATCCTCTTAGAGCACTTGTCTGACAGACAAGAGCCCAGCAAGAAAAACGAAAAAAAAAAAAATCTCAAAGCCAATTCTTTGAATCATTGAACTACCAGGCGGAGAGAGAGAGAGAGAGTAACACTGCAGAACATGATACCCAGTCAAATGGATATTTGCAACATGCATTTTTCTCCCCATATCCAAGTCCCTTTTCAGACACAATGCGCTCAGATCGTCACCTAATGACGCTTTAGTTCCTCCCAACCAAACGAATGTTATTCTATCAGAAAAATCCCATTAATCAGCAAACTCAGACTTGCAATGCAGCCACTGAGGATAAAGAGATCCCATATGCTTGGAACTTGAAATGAAGATCCGAATCACGCAAGAATGAAAGAATAATGAACATATATAAATTGATAGAGAAATAAAACCAAACAGGATAAACCCATCAAAGTAAAAGATCTGCAAGAGCAAAATTAAGAAAAGAAAGGAAGAGAGACAATGCTTACCATTAGATTTGACAGGGTGAGGGAGCAAGAGGATGAGGATCACTTGAAGAAGCACAAGGGTGACGAGGTGACACCGAAGAGAAACCATCGTTATCAGCGATGATTCAACAGGGGTAGTGAGCTAAAAGATATCAGGGAGAATGATGATTAGTACTTTTTCATAAGTTAACGTCTTTCTTATAATGAATTTCTTTTTTCAAATGTGATTTTAATTATTGCTTTTGAAACCGGTTACTTGCGATAACCCATATTCACGTAAACGAAAAATCGAAATTTGATTGGGCCATCTCATCTGATGTGATATGGAAAAGTTACTTTTTCCATATCATAGATTTTCCCTTTTTTTTGATAAAAATAATAAATCAATAACGAAAAAGAAGTGGCAACAGACAACGAGAGTATTACATCCCCAAATGCTAGCACAAGAAATACACTTTAAAAAGAAAGGCAAAGAAGTAAGAAAAGAAAGGTTGGAATGAGCATAATTAGTAAGCCAATTTTTCCTTTCCCGATAGGTATGCCCGCATTCAACATTGCTATCCATCATCTCGATCAAAGACCTGTAGCTTTCAATGATCCTTCTCAGTCTCCATGGAAGATCCACTTGGTTCTTCAAATTGTCAATAACTAATTTTGAATCGCCCTCAATGATGATGGATTTTTCATGGAAATTGAGAACAAGATTGTGAACTTCCCAAGCAGCCCAAGCTTCAGCTAGATTAATAGTTGTAACTCCTATTCCAAAGGCTTTGAAATCCAAAATCTGGCCAATGTGGTTTTTGGCCACACAAGCAATGGTGCATCGGTTGTTAATGCAAGAAGCATCAAAGTTTAATTTGATAACATCCTCTTTTGGATTTACCCACTTGACATGGATGATCTGTTTACTGGGTTCAATCATTGAGTCCCAACCAAAACTTTAAATTGATTCCATAAACAAGTTTTTAGCTCTCTCTCAATGATTATAAGAGGGGGGATTGCATTATTATTGAAAGTCTTGTTATTTTGGTTCTTCCAAATATGCCACAGTAAAACAACAATTTTTTTTCTTTCACAAATGGACTCTTAGGACACTCAACATTAGCATCCAAAGAATTTCACCATTCAATCACCGAATTGTTGTTCTCTGAAGGAATTGGAATAAAATCTCTCGTGATGAGCCATATTTGTCTAATAAAATGGCACTTAAGGAAAATATGAACAAAATTCTCTTCATCCCCACAAAACCCACAGCAACAGTCAATATCAAAACCTCTTTTTCTAAGAACTACCTTGGAAGGAAGTTTGTTGTTGAGCAATAGGTATAAAAAGACTTTAATCTTGGGAGCAATTTTCAGACTCCAAACCTTATTGATTTCCTTTGTCACCCTAGTAGAGTTACCATACATCCAGCAGGCCTCATTGTATACCGATTTGATTGAGAAGTTTCCATTTGAGTTAGGTCTCCATATTAGCCTACCCACTCTATACCCGTCATGAATTAGCCACACATCTCCCAATTCATAATAGAAATGTGTGACTCCAATTCACGGCGGGTAGAGAGTGGATAAGAAATCTCGAGTGACGGCAATCGAAATGTCAATTACAAAAATATCCTCTATATTTTGTGTATAACAAAGATACCCCTAATTTGCAACCGCTTTACTTGAGAGACCATCACCCATCACTGAGTAATAAGGTGAACGTCATCGTCAAAGCCAGGAAGCTTAAGAATATTTTCATTTGATACAATATGGTATTTGATATAGAACCAAAGACCCCTAAGTCAGTGATAAATACCTCGGCCTGAACTTTCATTTGTGGCAAAGGTCTCATGAATCAATTAGCTAAACAGTAGAGGTAATTTAAGAAAGTTGCCCTATATTAAAATAAGGAAGTCTATAATTTATCCTTATTTTATTTTATTTTTTTAATTTTTTTAATCTATGTCATTTTCAAAACTACCAAGTAGAAACTCTACTTTTCCCAAAAGAAATCTTCATAAAATCTCTCTCCCTCTCTTTCTTCCACATGTTCCAATAACCCAAATAATCTAATATCCTAAACAACCTCCCCACTATCCCCAATTTTATCATAAGTTATTTCTAATTTAGTAAAGAATTTATGTCCTAAATTATCTCTAATTCTCCCCCACTTTGTTATCTAAATCTATCTAAAGAAAGTTTGAATTAAAAAATTTAAGAATTATTTGAATATCTTAACAAAATTATATAATAACTTTAAAATATTTATTAAAAAGACAACAAATAATTATAATCAATTTAATAACATTTATATTAATAATAACTAGCAAAGGGGCCCCTGCGTTGTAGGGGTTTGTGAAAGATAAAGTATTTTCTTGCTAAGTTTCCAGGTAATTTGACGTACAATTTAGGTGTAGCCTTCCTTTATTTTATATTTTATTTGATGTTTATAAAATGGAAAATTTGGTTTTCACTTATTAATAAATTAAAGTTGTTGGGCGCCAACTCTTTTGCAATCGTAGACTAATTTTCAAGTTATTTTGTGAAATAAAATAACACAAAATCACATTAATATTTGATATAAGATAAATTTCTTGTTATGAAACCTCTGAACTGAACCCATAATCCCATAAATACACAAAGAATTTTATGGTTTCTTTCTTCATTAATATGCTGAATTTGTTCATCGATGTGAAAATCTTGGATATTTCTTCTCCTGTGAAAACTAGTAAGGTAACTTAAGGGCTTTTATAGCTTGATTTCTTAAATCTCTATGTGAGATTTCAGTGACGAAGTCCAGTGTTTCAAGGAAGTGGTTGTGTGGAGCACGACCCTCTGTTTTGCTTTTCTTCACTTATCAAATGGGTTGTAAAGAAATAGGGTTACGTGTTATCAGATTTCTTTCCCATGCTTCCCTAATCTACATAAAAAGGTTTTTCTAGGTTTGTTTATATAGATGGCTTCGGCTGGATCTTCGTACTGGTGCTATAGATGCAATCGATTTGTTAGGATTTCGACTTGAGAAACTATTGTTTGCCCTGATTGTGATGAGGGATTTATTGGGGAAATCATTGAGCCCCTTGATCTGCACAAGAAACCGATAGGTGCTGGCGTTCAGAGTACGAATCTAGGGTTCCACCGCAAACGAAGGAACACTGGTGGATCGTTTACCTTTTAACCCCGTTATTGTCCACCGAGGTTTCCATGGCGACACTGAAGGCGGTGGTGGAAAGAGGGGAAACTTTGAGCTTTACTACGATGATGGCTCTAGTTAAGGACTCCATATACTACCCGTAAGCATTTCGGATTTCTTGATGGGTTCAAGCTTTAACTGTTTTCTCAAACAGCTGGCTTAGATTGAGATCAACAGAGTAGGGCACTGTGAACATCCCTTGCTGTCAAAGGTTGTCATTGAGTCCATGCCAACCATTGAGATTATCAACAACCATGCTGTCACTGAGTCTCACTGTGTTGTCTGCATGTAGCCCTTTGAACTTGCACAAGTGACGGCAAGAACCACCCGCCATTAGTGCAAGCAAGCAAAACTGAAGCGAAACCCATGGCAAGAGGACCAAAGACCGAATATTAATCCCCCAAAGCTCTGCTAAACCAAACACAAACTGCAAAGAGAATAGAAACAAATAGAAACCCTAACCCTCTGCAAGACCAAGAAACAAAGAGAATGAGAGGGGGAGAGAGGGAGAGCGGGAGAGCGGGAGAAACAAAGAGAAGAGAGAGAGAGAGGGTGCAAATTTTTGCATCCTAAATGCAGAGGATGTGAATTGTTTCTGAGAAGCTGAATCTCCTCACACGTTGGAAGGGGAGTCACGTGCAAAATAATAAAT